TGTGCCAAAGCAATTCGGATACATGCTCCAGGCAAGCATTACTATGTCAGGCGTGTCGGTGAAGCTTGAGGCTGGAGGAGAAGCTGTAGCTGGAGATACGAGCACATCACCCGAGGGAAGTGTTTCAGCGACAGCCTCTCGGGCATCTGGCGACATGAGGCACTTGCCAATGTGAGAACTCATGTGTAGCAGTGTAAGTATGGTGGACTCCTATTATCTTGGTGTGGAACGGTTGCGTGTTGTTGCAATCGTATCACGCCACGATAATAAGAGTCCGCCACCCGCAGGTGCGTCACTCGTGTGGACGGCAAAACAAGGCAAGAGGTTCGGATTCAGCATCGTGCTGTTCCTGTCAGTACCATCTACACCTTTGAAAGTGGTTCCAATGTTGTGGCGAACGCGAACATTCTGGACATGGAGTCATTGATATGCTCGATCAAGGGTCACCTCATGGCCAAGCTACTCGAGCAATATCAGCTTGACACTGTTCATTTCGTTTGAGTGTGATGCACGGCATCTTGTTGTCTTGGTCTTGGCTGCTGCACATGTTGCTTGCAGTGCTTGTTATTGACAGCCTGGGCATGGCTGCTAGTTTATGTGTCTAGCTGAGAGTCTAGCTGTCTGCTGTAGCAGCTGCGTCCGATGCATGCACATAGCTTCCAGCGTTGGCGTGTTCTTGTTTGCAGTGAATCGAATCTAGAGCCAGTATGTGGTGTGATGTGTGCCGATTGTGCGTGATTGTGTGTCGCTGGTACATGTGCGTTCGTGGCGTTCGTGCTCAGGGCTCTCTCAAAGCCGAAATCTTTGGATCTAGTGAAGCTTGACTTCACGCCTGGAAGCAAGAACATTGTCACCATGGATGCACGAGACCTGCGAGAGCATAGTGATCTGAAGCTGTACGCTTTTGGAAACATTACTACGGACGCAAGTCCGAAGGCATTGGAGGCACACATTCATCGGCAGTCATGCGTAATGAGTCATCGCTTGAGGCCGTTTGCGTTGAGTTGCGGCATGTTGCGAAGCTAGTGACTGATTGAAGGTGGCCCGTGCTGAGTTGAATGGCTGGCCGGTCAAGTTTTATCTCAGCCAGATGGGCTTTGACAAACTGACTGCTCAGTGCCCATGCGCCCCATTTCTGATGAAGCCCGTGGCAGACCCTGAGCCCGGCACGAAAGGTGCCAGAAGCTCCACGCGCTCAGTCATGACTGTCCACCAGGAAACAGAAGTTGTGAAGTTCCACGTAGCGAAGCTTGCGCCAATAAGCAAGACGTTTTTTTGTTCGTGGGTTCACAGAGACCAACCAACAGTTGAAACTGAACTGAAATTCGTGCTTGCTATTCAACAGTAGTTGTTTATCTATCAGGACAGGGAACCTTGTGGACGTGCATATGACGTACTATTACTTGCAGCCCAGAGAGTCGGTTGTCGAAGGCCTCAAGGACATGCTGGGTCAACTATGTGCTGCTGTGCTGCTAGCTGTTTTCACGACGGAGTCTGTAAGTGCGACTGAGTGTGAGGACTCGGACAAGCTTAATGACGAGGGCGGTAGCCCCATTACCATTGCACTGACACGTTCACCATTCGACGAGTCTGAGCTGAAGAAGTCATCCGGCAAGGCCAAAGACAAAGACTCGAAGGAGACCTTTCTCGGTGGGGCCGGATTCACAAAAGAAGTCCAAGCCCTGTGTACAGCACCGAAAGCCGAGTCCAGTTCAGGCAGCAAACTTGTCGAGAAGGCAGGCAACACATCGAAGGATGTTTTATTCCTGCTGCGCTAGGCAATGCCGAACAGCCCGATTTATCTGAAGAGTCAAGAGACTCGAGTCTAGTGAGCAAAGGCTGAATCTGCGCTTGAAACGCTGCTGCTTGCTAATGTCCTGTCCTGATTAATGTGTTAGGTTTGCAATGGTATGTGCAGTTTGCATATACATGATGTACATGTACATGTGAGACGTTCGTTTGTATTGCAGTACAGAAGCAGTGGCAGCGTGAAGCACACTCACTCGCACATGAGAGTCCTTTAGACTGTGCATAGACTGCAGTGCATAGACCAATCTAGTGCAGGGATTGTGGCTTTCCCGCAACACCGGTCAGATGCAGCAGGTGCCAAAAAGTCAATCTGGACAGTCAGTGTCTTGCGTGTTGCAGCTGCGAGAATACCCATTCTTGTCTTGCTGATGCGGAGTATCACCACACCCGGTGAGGTGACGGTGGTGGGCTTGCGATTGTTTGTTTATTTGCATGGCCGTGTCTGTGTCTGACAGCACGAGTGGTTGCCACTCGTTGCGCACATGTGACCATGTGACGGCATGTGACGTGCACAACCGGCTGGCAGACGTGAGTGCAGTGCAGTGTAGTGCTTTGTTGATGCATTGACACATACACATTGATGTGTTGTCACTGAGCTTCACAAACATCGCAAGCAACTCAAGCAACCATGAAAAGCCATCACGGACAATCACGTCATGAAGCGGGACTGTTTACACTACAACCACATCAGCATCAACAGCGAACCTTCAAGGCAACAAAGGACGGCTGCCAATGTCCATGCAAGGCTACCACAATGCATACTGCTGCACCAGCAGAGCGTCATCAGCAACATCTACCGTAGGCGTGCGAACTCTTCAACAAAATGCAAGATGCAACACGACAATAACATGATAGTTTGATAACCAACTAGTAATACGACTACTTTTCTTCTTTACTACTGCAACTACTACGAGTACCACTACCGCTACCACTACCACTACCAGTACGACTACTTTGCTACTACTATTATTATTATTATTACTACTACTACTACCACCACCACCACCACCACCAGCACCACCAGCACCGCCAGCACCACAGCAGCAGCAGCAGCACCACCACCACCACCACCAGCATGCTGCAACTGTCAAGCCCAGTGCAATGTGAAACACACAAACAAACACACTGTGACACTGTGACTCTGCGACACAATGACGCGTTTCGATTCCATGTGTTTTTCTTGCGCGAGTCGAATTCTTTTGTATATAATTGTGCATAGTTTTAGCACATGATGTTTGTGCCAAACTCGAAAAAACTATATGTCACGAGCATTTTTCAATTGTGTCGATACATTTCAATCAATCCTCATAGATTTTGCCGGCATGCTGTGGTGCATGGGGACCAATACCGCAATACTTTGATGTGTACATGTCTATACTAAAAACCATATCCCTCAGAATTATTCACCGGATTAGTTCTCACAGTGTCTGGTTCTTGATTTCCTAACGAACGGACATTATCAGATTCCTCTTACTATTGAAATAGGATTCTGTGATTTGACCAGGGTTCCCATTGAGTTTAATAGTTTTAAGGGTTCTTATTCATGTTAACGGGTTTCCTGTTCATTTTAATAAAGATTCCTATTAAAACAAAATGAATCCTATGAACCCCCTTATATTTGATCGGAATGCTATTCACATGCATAGATTTTTCTAATGTCATAGCATGCAATCCACAATCACGAGCAAATTGTTCAGGTCGCTTCTGCTGGAGTTTTTATGGGAGTCCCTCCCCCCTTTAAAAACCACCGCGCATGGCGGAACGTAGTATTTGTATCTGTAAACCATGCTGTAGCATATAATTTATATACATACATTTTTGTATACGTAATATGTGTTTGTCTTTTCATTTGGGTTTGTTTAAGTATGTGTGTGTGATGTGTTTGGGTACCTAGGAACCCACAACATCTTGAACAACCTGAGCCCCCGAAACCCGACTGTTGTGAACTATAGGTTGCTTCGGCTACCCCAAAGTCCTAAACCCTTAAACCCTCAAACCCCCCAAAACCGAAGACCAAAACAGGCAACCCGCAAACCCGAGAACTCGAAAACCCAAAGCCCTAAGCCCTAAACCCAAAACTCTTACAGCCTAAAGCCCTGCTCAAGTAGGCCCCGGAACACAGGTGCCGGACAGTCGCCAGCAGACCTTCTGGCAGCCAGGGCAGGCGTTCGCTCCCTGAAGCCTCAAGCCCTATTTCTTGCGGTTGAGGGTTTGGGGTTTGGGGTTTAGGGTTTAGGGTTTAGGGTTTGGGGTTTGGGGTTTAGGGTTTAGGGTTTAGGGTTGAAACCCTACACCTTGGGATGTTCCCCCTTGTACTAAGGTGTTGTTGGATGGCCCTGGCCCTTGATCCTGCGGTTCTTCAGTCCTAAACGCTGAGGCCCTGTAGCCCGTGTGGGCAGGGGTTGGGATCCAGCAGAAGCAACAGACACGGTTTAGGGTTTCGGGTTTAGGGTTTAGGGTTTAGGGTGGTTCAGGGCATTTTTTGAGGGTCAGGGTTTAAGGGATTCGGTTCGAGGATTTCGGGCCCTAAGCCTTAAGCCCTAAACCCTAAGCCCTCTCGGCTTGGGATGACGGATGGAGTCTTCAACTTTGCGTGCCCGTGCACCTCCGATACCCCGCAGTTGTTGGCTTCAGGGAGTTAAGGGATTTAGGCTCATGCCCTCTTGCTGTCCCTGTAAGGCTGGCCCTGCGGCCTAGCGTACACATAACATATATATATATATATGTATATATATATACTATAATCATAAAAATAATGATAATAACAATGATAATAATAATGATAATAATATAATTATAATAATAATAATAACCATAGCAGCAGTAATAATGATATAACAATAAAATAACAAAAAATAATGATAATAAATATACATATTTTTTAACCGATATTAGGTATACATAATATGTGTTTATCCTTTCATTTGGGTTTGTTTATGTATGTGTGATGTGCTTGGGTACCTAGGAACCCACAATATCTTGAACAACCTGAGCCCCCGAAACCCGACTGTTGTGAACTATAGGTTGCTTCGGCTACCCCAAAATCCTAAACCCTTAAACCCTCAAACCCCCCAAACCCGAAGACCAAAACAGGCCAACCCGCAAACCCGAGAACTCGAAAACCCAAAGCCCTAAGCCCTAAACCCAAAACTCTTACAGCCTAAAACCCTGCTCAAGTACCCGGAACACAGGTGCCGGACAGTCGCCAGCAGACCTTCTGGCAGCCAGGGCAGGCGTTCGCTCCCTGAAGCCTCAAGCCCTATTTCTTGCGGTTGAGGGTTTGGGGATTAGGGTTTAGGGTTTACGGTTTAAGGTTTAGGGTTTAGGGTTTAGGGTTGAAACCCTAAACCAAAACTGACCATAAGGGAATACCATCAGTAACTTTTCCGACCCCTATAGTAGGGAGCTCAAGTCGGGGGGTGTAGGGATTCGGGTTTAGGGTTTAGGGTTTAGGGTTAGGGTTGGAGGTTGAAAGGGAAGGAGTGCTCGTGTAGAAAAAAAGTTTGTTTGTTTGTTGGTTGTCTGGGTTGGTGAAAATAGGTTTCTGATGATGCAGTGTGGGTGTCCTGAACCCTAAACCTTAAACCCGAAACCCTGAACCCGGAACCTTGAACCCTCAACCCTAAACCCTAAACCCTAAACCCTAAACCCTAAACCCTAAACCCTAAACCCTAAACCCTAAACCCTAAACCCTAAACC